CCCTCCCTCCCTTCCTCCCTCCCTCCCTCCCTCTCTCCCTTCCTTTCTTCCTTTCTTTGAGACAGGGTCTCATTATATAGCTCTGGCTATCCTAGAACTCACTATGTTAACCAGTTTGGCCTCAACTCACAGAGATCAGAGATCCACCTGCCTCTACCTCAGAGTGCTATGATTAAAACTGTGCACCTCCAGGAATGGCCTGTAACTCAGGTGTCTTAATTCCAACAATGTGTTAAAAATCGAGTGTCCTTCAGATTTTATTTAAGCAACTGCATGCATTTTACAGGAATAAGTTTAGAAAAGCACTGCATTGGTGTGTTACCTGTTACATTTACACCATCTGACCTTTGACACCAAACTGTTCGAGAGGAACCCTTCCATGCGCTCGCCATCCACTTATACTCATAACACTGTCCATCTGCAGAAGAGAGCAAATGTTGATGTTCAGTTGCTTGGGACATCATGAGAGAGGACTAACTACGCACGTATGCACAACTGAAAAATAATATGATGTCCATTCATTGATGAAGATTACAATGTCAGTGGATGGTCCAGAGGTTGCAATGCAAATTTGTAAATTCCAGCTATCTACCTAAGTCCCAAATAATTTTTCACATTTTGCTTGGTGGGAAATTGGGTGTGTAATTTAATTTATGATTTGTTTCTAAAGGTTTAAAAATTGTTTCATGTTCTGGAATATGAAATATACAGATACATATGGAGAATAAAATATATTCAATTATGTATCATGTAATGCTAACAAAATGTTATATTTAGGCATATTTGCTTTGGTTTTCATTTGCTTGTTGTCCTATTACATTCTTTCTTGACCACATCTCCTCCTTATGCCCCAGCAGTCCACACCATTCTGAGGTAGACTTGTGACTTCCCGCTTAGTTTTTATTCTTTTACCACACATACATCTGCATGCACACATGCTTAAAATTTAATTCAATGTCAGAATTTTAATTTCTAATATTCTATTTATACTTCTGTAACATAGTTACAGATAAAAATATCTTTATTGATTTTTAAAATGTAGATATAGTCAATTTGACTGCCACATAGAATTGCAATATACTAGGTACTATAATTTAGTCAACATTTTTCTCTATTATGTCATTTTATGTTTTTGCTATTAAACAATTCCTTGTTGGTCAAATTCATGCAAGTATGTTGGTGCTATTTAAAGATAAATTTCTAGAAGGAAATTTCTGGGTATAATAACTGTATGGACTACTGAAACTTTGCTAATATTGTTCATTTGTTTCATTTAAAAAAGCAAAAATTTAGCTGGGTGTGGTGGCACATACCTTTAATCCCAGAACTTGGGAGGCAGAGGCAGGTGGATCTTTGTGAGTTCGAGGCCAGCTGGGTCTACACAGTGAGCTCCAGGACAGCTGGGGCTACAGGGAGACCCTGTCTCAAAAAGACCAAAAAAAAAAAAAAATGTAAGCTTACAAAAAAAAAAGTAAAAATTTAAACTCTTGCCAATGAGGGATAATGTTTCCATTGATCTAAGTACTCAGGAACAGAGAATCACCAGGTCCACATTTAAAAATCAGTTTTAGGTGTATGAAAGTTATCTTATCATTCTCAATTGAATTCTTTGTTGACTATATTTACCAAACAGTTCAGAATATCTTTGAGGCATTTGGATTTCCTTTGCTAGGAATGGCCCATTTCCATTTTTTTCCTAATGATACCCATACCTTTACTCACTGAAATGAGGGAAATATTCATTCTAAACAGTGATTCTCAAAGTGTGGGTCAGGGACTCTGGGAGGTCTTGACATTCTTGCAGGAGTTTAGGAATGCTTTCTGTTCAATCGGATCTCTGGATTTTCTTCAACATGTAAGTAGAGGAAGGTTCTAAGAGATTGGATGCAGAAGCAATGAAAGAATCCAAGGGTCATCTGTAACTGAGGTTTTTTATAGGGCCCTACAAAATCTAAAACAAGACCATTCTTTTCATTGAAGTTATTTCCTTTTTGTTCTGGAAAGTGGCTTTTTCTCAAAATATGTTATTTGTGACTATTTAAATCTCTAAATATTAAAATTTGCATATTTTCACTTTTAAATGATGCAAAGATCTTTTTCTCTCTCTTCCTATGGCCTTCTTTCCCTCTCTCTCACTTTCTCTTCCTTATATAAAAGTTCTTTGGAGGCCTGAATAATTTTAAGATTATAAAATTCACATGAATCAAAAGGTTTTATAACTGTATTGTAGCCACTAGTTTTCTTAATCAAGGAGCTTCACAAATTCTTTTCCATTTTTGACTTGTCCTTTTATCAGTTTATGTCCTATTTTACTCTAAAGATATTTAAATCTTAATTTAAAATAATTTTCAGTACTTTTCTTCTTTTTCTTGTGCCTTGGCATTGTACTCTTGACCTTGGGGTTATTAAGGTATTTTCTTTAAATGTTTTACAGAATTTCTCTTCACCTTTAGGTCCATAAATTATCAGGAATACAGTTTGTATATTATATGTGCTAAGGATGGTTTTATTGTTTTGTGCCTTGGGAATGGAAGCTAGGGCCTTTCACATGGTAGGTAAGTGCTCTACCACTGTGTTACATCCACAATCCTTAAAGATACCTTAACAACTTTATATGGTTAACAAATCTAGCATCAGTGTTCATTGACTCTCTTTAGTGGTTTTCCTGCTGTCACTTACTTGTATGTGAAAATTTGTTCTGAGATTCTCTATCCTATCTTGTTAGAGTAATTGCTGTATTGTTGGCCAATCATATTTTTCTTATCAATGCTTATAGTAAGTCTTAATGTAAGGCCATCTGTCTCCTGACCTCTTTCCATAATTATTGTTCTCAAAAAAATTTCTTGGTTCTTTTTGTCTTTAATTCCTCCGTATTAAGCTTAGGATTCAATACTCAGAATTCTTTAATAACCTGTTCAAATCACATGGAATTTAAAGGTAAATATATGTAAGATTTGTGTTGTGATCCTGAAGCTTTTCATTAACAAACATGGCATACCACACCAACATTTTAGTTCTTTATGCTTTTCAGTTAGGATTTTATAATTTCTCCCATATGTATTTTACATCACTTTTGTTACATTTAGTTATCATTTTATTAGTGATACAGCTTCTTCAGTAGTACAGTTTTTTCAGCTAAACTTTATAATAAAATCTTGTTGGTAAATAAAGGCCACATGTTTCATATGCTAGCTTTAAATTCATATTTCTAAGTTACCTTCCTACTTCCAAATACTTGCTTATTAATGTGAATCAACATGAAAAAATTTTTCCAAGATTGAATTACATATTTTTATTGAAAATGGGGATCCATTTTGGTTTTAGACTGTATGCCTGTGTGAATATAAACTTGATACGTTTGAATTCTTAGCAGTTGTGGAATCCATGACATAGATTTTCTATTACTGTTGATATTTTATAACATTCTAACTTATTTTCAGTTAAGTTTTATGTTTATTAGCAAAACCTCTTTATGGAATTGTATTTTCAACCACTTTTCTTTTAGTAGTAGTGCAAAATTTACCCTCATTTTCCTTTATTGAGTTTCCATAAAGTGGTATTTTTGTTACTCTGGCTCAAAAAAAAAAAAAAAAAACATTAATTTTGTTTACTTCCTCTTGCTTCTTTGGTCTCTGCCTCACCGGATTCCTACTTACCCATATGGCTGCATTCTGCTTCCTGTCCTAAAAATGAAGCTTCTTGCATTGAAAGTACGGCTTGTTTTCACTCTTCCCCCACATCTGTGATCATTCAAGGCCTTCAGTTCTCCTCTAAGCATTTCTTATTGTATCACACATAATATTGGACAGGAAATAATCCCTGTGGCTCTCAGGTTTTGCATGTGTGTGTACAGGGAGGGAGTCCTCCTCTAACTGTTACACTATTGATTTCTAATTTTATTATGCTGTCTCGCTTGAGAGGAACAATTCTCTTACTTGTCATGGATTAATTTATTGCAAATATCAAGCTTGCTCTATTTCTTTTCCTACTCTGTCCTAGGCATGGGAAATATTTTATGTGGTTGGTAAATTTAGGAAAATTAGGTTGACAGGGTAGGTGTGTTAAGTCATCTAATTCTAAGCATTATCAACTTGCTGCGCTTCCTCCCCTAGTGTTAAAATATAAGGGGATATTTTTCAGTCCTACTTGCTATTTATTATATGTCCTATTTCTTAATTGTTATAGAACACAGCTAGGAATTCGAACCCCATACTACCCACTAGATACTAAGGTTGTCTGAGAAGCCATAGAAAATATGTTACTTTCCACAAGCCTATTTAAAAATACACATGTACACACGTGTGTGTGCACGTGTGTGTGTGTGTGTGTGTGTGTGTGTGTGTGTGTGTGTGTGTGTGTTAGCAGAGCGCTAACAAAATCTCAGTACAAGGCAACAGAAATTTCTTTTCAAATTTTTGGTCATGGTAGTCCAAGAGATGCTTAAAATAATATAGGCTATTGCCACAGCCCCTAGTTGCCTCCCAAAACTTGAAGGTAAGATCCTGTCACTGAAGACACTACATACTTTGGACCTAGGACTTAGAGTAATTGGGCTAGAACTGACCTGAAATCTCCTCCCTGAAGACCAGCTCTCATAGTATCAGAAGGTGCTATGCAAGCTGCCAAGTTGGAAAACCAGTCAATGAACATACCCAGCTGCAAAGCCTATGAATCACAACAATGAGCAACTGGGCAAAGTATCTCTATTGGTGCAATAGTGGCACTTTTATCTTGGGTATAATCAATAGCTGTCTATTTGGACTTAAGGTCTGCTCAATAGGAGGGAACTCATATATGGTACTGTAAACACAGTGAAGTACACGTGATTTAAGAGGTCATACACCCTAGAGCAGAGCCACTTCCCTAAACCACTGTAAACTCTTACTATATTCTAAATACTTGTCCTTATCTTCACAGATAAATGTGATCTCAAACTCATTAAAGAAGCTTCTTTTTTGCAACAGATAGAGACTATTACAAAGTTCCTCAACTGACCAAAATACAGTCAATAAGTGATTTTTGTGGTGCCTAGCCCCAATTGGTACACTACAATGCAACCCCTACAGCTAAGACTCTGGGAGCTGAGGGTCAGAATGATTCTAAGAGCCAGAGGAACAGGTCACCTACTGCTAGATAATACATTTAAGACAAGGTGGGGAAAATGCAACCATGGAATCTTCACAAAGCGATAGCCTAACAAGATTTGCACAGTGAGAACACCAGTTGACATGCCAGTGTAGATGAGGGAAATTTCACAGTATCCCACCCTTAGATTATGAACCGCAGGAAATCAATAAATACTGAGGAAAGGAGAGTCAGTTTTCTCCAGGGACAAGCTCCCTGATCTGTTATCTAGTCCCAAGTGTCAGTCCTAAACACAGGTACACATGGACACCAATAAATGGACTCAGTGCACTATATAGATATATATTTATACATGTATGTATACATGACAATAATAATAAAAGAATAGAACAAGAAATTGAGGGGTGATGTGGGAGTAGTTGGAAGGAGAATGGGAGGGATGAAAATGATGCAAATATAATATTCATGTAAGAAATTCTCAAAAATAAAAATTATTTTAAAATGCACCATGGTTCTTGGATATAGAATGTATTGCAAATGTTGAGGGAATGGTTTTATATGTGTGCATAAAAACCTGCATTGACACATAAACATACATGTATATACTGTTCTATGTCAAATTATACTAAAAGTAAAATTGCTAATTCTTACTGATTTATCAACTTCTGAGAATATGGTAATGTGTCTAATTTAACTATGGCTTCGTGGTTTACCTTTATTTTTTTCATTTGATTCAAACACCTGGAAAATATTGATAGATCCATGCATAATCATTGCTATTGTACGTATATAATTAAAGTGCTCCTAATTATCTCAGGCTTCTTGAATTCATCAAACTAGGAGACATTTTTACAGTATTTTTTAAACCAAAATCTTGTTCTTTGTGTGTGTGTGTGTGTGTGTGTGTGTGTCTGTGATATGTATGTGTTCATGTATGTTCGTGTGTGAAGATCTGAACATCCACATTGGCATGTCACCTGGGTGTTGATCCTGGCCTTCCACTTTGTTTGAGACAAAGTCTGTTTTTTTTTTTTTTCATTGTTGTTGTTCTTTGTTGCTGTGGACACCAGGCTAGGTTCTCCCCAAGCTTCTGGCAATTCTCTGTCTCTGCCTATAATCTTGCTATAGGAGCACAGGGATTACAGAAGCACACCATCGCACCTGGCACCATGTGGGTTTCTGGGGATTTGTACTAAGGTCTTCTTTCTTTCATGAAATCACTTCTTCCACTAAGTAAACTTCCCAGCACATCAAATCTTACTTTTAATTTAATTATCAACCATAAATAGAAATTTAGCAAATTCAGTTATTCATAAAAAATTCTTATCTCATGCTTTTGGATATCAATACTACTCAAATGAATAGATTTCATGAATTATAACCCTCACCATCACATGATTTTGTTTCTAACATCTGCTCTGGACACAGATGTTGATTCTCCAGTTCTTGAATAATCACTGCTCTTGAACGGACCTGTATTCCACCAAAGCCAAGATCCTCACCATTCACACAGGTCAGCTGACACAGACTCCAAGAAGACCAGTCCTTCAAATAACAATCACCTGCAAGAAACAAGTTGATAATTCATATCCGTAGAGAACAGTGAGGCATACTCACTTTGAGTTTAACCTTGCCAGGTCATGCTTGTAGGTGTGCTGGCTGTACATGGTATTTATATGATTTGGATAAACATTTAATAATTGGAAGTTCAAACGTAATTTTATGATTTTGTATAAATATTGCTATTTTCCGGGTGGCTCTTAGCAGTCTCTATGTACCTTAATCTTATAAAAAACAAACTATGGCTCAAAGGAGTTTGTCCATCATATCACCTCCTAAGAGACAGAAAGTATTTAGCTAAAAGCTAACATCAGTCTTGTTATTGTGATGGGGGTTAATAAAACCTAACAATACATAGAACTTTTCTTTCATGTATTCATAATTTCAAGTGAATTTTAAGTCGAAGAATGAGGATCTGGTGATCGTATTTTTTTGTTTCATCACAGAGGAGTCAAAGTGAAGTGAGGCAGACAGTTGAGCAGCTGCCAGGGAGGAAATTATGCTGGTTATTTCTCTATGCTGGTTAGTCCTCCTCCCCACCTCTTTGAAGTAAATACACAGTACATGCAAATTGATTACATATCATAAATTCACAGCTGAATTTTCACAGTCTGATTATCTATGAAATCAACATTTAATCAATGAACAGAACATTACCAGAATCTCAGAAATCCACCCTCATATTACTCATAGAATCATGACATATATATCGTTTTTCACTCACTCATACTTGTAGGCTGTATCACATGCTTAAATAGTTCTAATTTGTACTATTGTAGATATTTCAGTACAAGCCTGTGATAAATATATGTTACATGAATGTTTTGTGATGTGTATGTATAGGAGTGGAATTAATGAGTCTTGATGGATTCACGTGTTCAACATTTTTCACCATTTATTATTTTTTAGATTTATTTTTATTTTATGTGTATGCCTGCATGAGTTTATCACATGTGTGCAGGAGCTCATGGAGGCCAGAAGAGGGCGCCAGATGTCCTGGAACTGCAGTTATAGATAGTTGTGAGCTTCCTGATGTGGATGCTGGAACTGGATCTGGGTCATCTGTAAGAGCAGTAAGTGCTTTTAACTGTTGAGCCAGCCCCAACATCTTTCATCATTTTCAGAACAGGGAAGGCTTAGTGAAATACGTCTTTCTCAGATCCCATTCTGTTACCAGGACTGAATAATTGCTTGGTGAAGCAGTTAATTACGACAGACATAAATCCATAAGATGTTCTTATCACTTTAATCATGTCTGGAGATATTTTCATGGAAAACTTCTTGTGACACGGGTATGAAATCCTAGCAATACAAAAATTATTTACACATACACACACGTGTGCATGCGTGCACACACACACACACACACACACACACACACATTGTCCGGGCCCCTAAAGTTTAAAAAGGAAATTCTAGTAAATTTTGGAAATGCAAAGGAAAAATAAACTAGCAAAAATTTTAAGTAGTTTAGGAAAGCTGTAGAAACTCTTATATCACTGAAGAGATGACACTTTTGGTTACCCAGTATTTAATTATGCAGGAAAAACTGGTAGGAGTAAAATTTAAAAATTCCATCAATAGAAATAACTGACTTTACCTCAGTGACTGCAAGCTGCTTGGAAATAAAATCTACCTTTTTAATGATAGGCTTAGCTTTTGTGCTTATTTATATTCAATATGACCATGTTTTGCAGTGAAATTCAATAATTTTTTTCTGTAGTCTCTGAAATACATAATTATCATCCTGAAATAATGCACATGAAATTTTAAGATTTAATAACGAAAAATGAGAGTGAACTACTTCCTATACTAAATTTACTTTTATAAATATACTTTTTACTTTTATATTTTGACCCAAACCATTGTAGTAAGAAAGTTACACCTGGTCTTTCAAAGATGCAATAATAAAATGCAGGAAATACATTTCCTAAATCAGTATTCCACTCTGTAACGTTTACTGGTTCACATTTAGTTAGTTTTCAAAACATACTGTAGAGTGCTGTGGATTTATCTCAGTGATTTTAGAAATGGCAGTCTCTCTGGTTATGAGGCAGTGCCCACTAACCCACAGGTATGGTGCTGAGCTGCTAGTAAAGACACTACTGAATAAGATTATTTATAATCTCAACTTGTCCTGTATACACACTCCCTTCTTGACTCTAGTCCTAGGCAGAAATTTCTCCAATAGAAATTGTGTCCTCTTGTTACCTGGGCAGGGTTGTGTGCAGGATTCCTCCAGAACCATCTTGTTACTACCATCCACTATGAGTTCAATGTCAGCACAGAACTCCTCATCCACCACCTTGCTGAAATCATCAGCTGAGCCATCACTCACTACACAAGAAATATTCCTTGTTCTGGTTCCTTCTCCACATTGGGCCTCCTGGAATTGAGGGAGAAATAACTAATTAGAAAAAGAAAAATAATTCGTTAGAAAACTCATGACTCGCAGTCATCTCTGCATCATTGATTTTGATTTATAAACAGCTAGAGAAGCGTTGGAAACCCTAGGGAAGAAGCCTTATAGGGCACAAGCTATAAAGCATACCCTGAACAATTTATTTGCTTTCTAGACAAAGACAGGCAAATAAATTTTCATTAAAATGAAACAATCTCCAAGTGATTTTTAAAAGTACAGGACAGGGAGTGCTTGCTATCAAAACTAATTAAATGACCGTGAAATGGCACCATCACTAAAATCTATCAGAGGAAGCCAAGGATTTGTAAATGCTAATGTGCTTCTGAAACCAAGTCTGTGTAGGAGAACTCATGCGTCCACACAGCTGAGACTGGACACCTGAACTTGGCACGGAGACCACCGGCTGTACTGCCAACGGTAGCATGGCTTCACTGGGCAAGGCTTGGACTGTTCCGTCAGGGAAGGGCAGGGTCTCCCATCACCCTGAAAAGGCTGCATCACTGTTCGTGTTCGGATCATTTTCCCTTTAAAAGATAAGAAATGATACAACTTCAGTGCAATGTCACAGCCATACAAGCAGATACATTGCTGGGAGAAGGCATGACAGATGCCTCTTCCGAGGAGACCCAGAAACAAGAAAAGCTCACAAGGAAGACACCCAATTCCACAAAGACCACCTGTTATGACTTAGAGCAAGAAGGATGTTTTATAATACTTGAACACTAGTTTAGTGCTAATTGCAATGCAAACTGACCTGTGAGTCCACATGTTTGAGAACATTCGGACCAAGGAGACCAATCAGAAAGCTGACAGTTCAAAGGACATTCCACCATGCAAGATGTGTTCATCAGCCAGTTCTTCTCCAGGCCAAGCTGAAAGCATAAAGATAGATATGTTTGTGTGGGCAGTGAAGCAGGGCCATGAGTATTGCCAGTGGGAAAGGGAATGAGGAGGGAGAAGAGAGAGGAGAGAAGGGAAAAGAGGGAGGAGGGACTAACAGAGACTTGAAGACTAGAGGGGAGGAGACTGGAGAGAGGTGGAGGAGGGGGAGGAGAGGAGCACAAGAAAGCTGCATGATAGAATGAGAAGCTATCTGAAAGACAAATTTCCTTATGACTATAAAACTGTTCAACCCAATAGAGGGTGAGCCAGAGGCTGAGAATGAATGCCAGGCTGTACTGACTCTATACAGTTATGTGCAGTGTGAACATTTTCCAGAGTAGTGAAAAAGGGCATTTAATCTACAAATTCGTTGAATACCCCACATGAGAAATAAAAACAATGTAAGCACAATTGCTTTGTAATAATACAAAAATCATGAATTCCATCAGCATAGAGATCTATACTTACTTCCTAAAGATGCTTATTTTTACATGTATACGTGAAATTGAAATGCAAAAGATAAGTTTCTAAGACAAATTGCTACTCAAGAGTAAAGAAAGACCATACTGAAAAAGAATGTCAATTTGGGGGCCAGGAATGCTTAGTAGTCATTTCTGGAATTCAGTCCCCAGCACCAAAATTATTTAGTTAATTAATTAATTATCTGTTTGCTTGATTTGGGGGACTAGGCTCTTGCTTTTTAGACGGTGGCCTGAAGCCATCTTTGTAGCCAAAGGTGGCCTTGAACTTGTCATCTTCCTGCTCCTGCCTCAGCTGGAATCATAGGCTTCTACCACGTGATACCTGGATAGAAATGTCAGTTGTTAAGTAAGCTGTCTTTCTCTAAAGAACATGTTGGTCCTCAATAATATTTTGAATATAAATGTTTTATATGAACTCATTACAATAATGTTCTCTTCTAAGGTATAATTTGAGTGCTTGGCTTCTATTATAATGAATAATTTTATTGGCATTTGGTTTCTATCACATGACTTACATATTACAATTTAAAACTATAAAAATGACTTCAAAGTAATATACCATATATTCCAACATTTAAAGTCTAGGATACAAAGTAATATAAAATTTTCAGCTGGAGAGATGGCTCAGTGGTTAAGAAAACTGGTTGTTCTTGCAGAAGACCCGGGTTTGAATCCCAGCACCCATACGGCAGCTAACAACTGTCCGTAACTCCAATTCCAGGGGATCTGACAGCCTCTTCTGTCCTGAGTGCATTGCACGACACGGGTGCACTTACCTACATGCAGGCAATATGCGCATACATGTAAAATAAAAAATAATAAGTAAAATTAAAAAAAAGATTTAAAAATTTATTATACCACTAAATTAAGGCTTCATAAAGATTCTTAAGAAATGCAGGAGGTTGGAGATAGGTTGACATGATCAATGTAACATGTAACATTTAACATACATAATAGATTAATGGAGGGGGCTTGAAACGGAATCAGCTATTAGTGACTTCTTTCATTAGAGAGTAATTTGGTTATCCATTAATTAGGCCTTTTAATTTTCTATACTTTCCCTGATATTTATTTGTCTTTTTAATTCTATCTATCCATCTATCCACCATTTATCTATACATGCATTCATCTCTTTAAATCTATCCATCTATTCATCTAAGTATGTGTCTAAGCAAATTTTAAAAAATGTATTTAGATTTCAAAGGATAGGAAAGGAGAAACTGACCAGGTATCAGATGAGTAAAAATCTCAAAAACATCAAAGGGGAAAGCACACTACATAAATGCCAGTCGACTTAACCCCAATTTTCTTCTTTGTTCGGTAGTAATGACACATTTCTTTGTGGTTATTAGGGAAGCAGCAAGAACTACCTACTGCTGTTGCATTGAACACAGGCTTTGCACATGCGGTGGTAGGTAGGCAGTCTGTCCACTGTTTACAAAGATAGTTCAGCTGTTCGTCGAAGCAACTGTACTCATAGGGATGGATAAAATCACATGTGAACTGTTTAATTCCCACAGAGAGTAGCGCTGTTCTCCCAGAAGACATGTTTGCTGGGATGGTTGAATCCAAATTGTCCCAGGAGTAGTCACATCATACAACGTAGTTTAAAATGGTCTGGAATGACTAGGATTCCCCTACCACAGAGGTTGCTATGCACTACATACTCTTGTGAGAAGGACGTTCTGTGGGCACTTGTAAAGCAGAAGCTCTACTAATTAGTTTGAATCACATCAGAAGTCTGTGACTATAGCAATTTCCACCCATAAATGCTATTTTATGTTAGTTATATTGCTTAAATGCCATTAGTTTCAGTGTCAAAACTTGAATTTAACTTAATCTAAGGTCTGAATAGGTAAATTCATGTCTGAAGATTTTAGTGGGAGACATTTATTTACTAAACAACTTGATGTTTTCAGAATATCTGAAAGTTCTGTTCCCACGGACAGAGATGCAAGAGTTAGCTTACCTGAACTTGGCTCTGACACCAAATGGATAAAGTACTTCCAGTGACAGTTTTCCCTTTGGAGCTGAGATAGTTCTGTGGGTGCAGTATAACCCTCAGAATGTGTACAGAGACTTCATAGTGACCAAGCCTGCTGGACTTAGTGACAGTATGTATGTCTAGCTTGGTCTTTTTAAGATGTATTGAGGTTCTTGATTATTTTGGTTTAAAAATGACCCAGTGGAACTCAGATGCACAAGTAATGAAATTTGACAAGAATGTCAGTGCCGTTTTGGTACTGAAATCAGAAAACAGTGTCACAAGGCAAAGTGCAGCTTTATGAAAAGAAGAAAGGTTAATGACTGTGTTTCTTCACTTTTAGAAGGCCATATCCAGGAGCGATGACATTACTTTCATTTCGCAATTAGCAACATATTACAGTTCTCTGAACTGTGAAGATAATAATAACAGATTTCATTTCTTTGTTTGAATATTAAGCTTTCTTAGCCAAATCTGATATCTGAGTACTTAGATTATCACAGCTGGGTATTAGATTTTAATATCAAAATCTGCGATGAAACCACATGCGATCAATGTTTAGCAACAGAGAGAATAAATGATGAATCTTGGCAGGTGTCCAGGCTCTACACCACATTCACATCAAATTACAAAACATGATGAGTAGTCTGATTAAGATTTATTGCCTTTATCACCTTGATTGCTTATTGTTTCCTAAGCACTTCTTTCAGAATAGGCTAATTAGCATACCTTTGGGCTCCAAGCAGAACAAAATAAAGGAAATTATATGTGGAAATCAGCAGCATGGATACTGTCTCTTTTCACAAAGTCACTAAACAGCCTGCAAATGGTGTTGCAATGCACCTGCCAGCACTGAGCTGTGCAGAGCACAGGTCCCTGGCTCCACTTGAATTCAAATGCTTAGCAAAGAATTTACTTACAAAGATGGAATATAGCACTCACCCACCTCTTCACAATATTTTAGGTCAACAGACTTGCCATCACTTCGAACACAGTCTAACATCCTTGTTTTAATGCCATTTCCACAAACTGCCTTCTCACTCAGCTGACATGTACTCCAGTCTGAAAGGAGAGGAGCCATCAGAACAGAAGGCTATGCATGAAACAGATTTCAAATGAAACTCTGATGACCTGAATCCCATACTTAATTCACAACTGCTTCCTAAGCCCCACAATCAATCATGCCCCATGCAGAGCATATGGGCTCCAGCTTTGAACATATCAGGAATCAAATGGAATTGCTGGGGTTGCACATAGCTGCGGGGATTACTCTTCAAGGCAGATGTCTACTTGACTATCTTGATAGCTAGCCACTTGGTGGCATTGTAAAAATGGCTTTGGTCTTTAGATCAATATTTTAAAACTTTTTCCTAAATGAGTAGAATTTAAAATTTGAACATTATGTCCTTTTAGTAAAATAATAATTTTCACGAATGGTACTTTATGTAATTATATTAAAATAAAACACTATGTTCTTCATTTAATTCCCATATGTAGGATTCTTTAAAAAAACACAAACTTATTTATTTCACAAATAACTTCAGTATACTTATTAAATTCTCTTATTTGGTTGTTTGCAAAAATAATTCCTTCATCTTTTTTCTCCAGGCATATCCCAAAGAATTTTGATTTCCTTTGTGGCATGAAAGCAAATCGAAGAGAAAATGAGGGTGAGGGCCAGTGTGACCATTATGGCTCCTTCTTCAACTACTTGAGGTTACTCAGTGTGGGAATCACAACTTCTTGAGGTTATTTCAGTGTGGGAATTCCAAAAAGTTAGCTTTGAAGTTGTACCAAATCTATGAATTCGTGAAATACTTTTGACATTTGTGTTTTGAAGATAGTAAATTATTTTGAGAAATGAAATTTATAAGAAGTCCATTTTTCATTTATAACAAGTCAGTTTTTAATACTGCAAACATTTCCCCATCATGCTCATGTTGTTCATAAACCACATCAACACCCCTAGAATTATTGACCTTGTAAGTGAGAGCAATGAAAGGTCTGCTGAAAACTAATATATTTATTTGTATCTTCCCAAAGTGGGAGAATGTCTTGAATAGAATTATCAAGAATATTTGACACATACTTCAGGGCCTTAGGTTTTGTGATGTTCTTATTCTATTTTTCCTGATGCTTACTAATTATGTCAGGTGATGCCTAATTGTTTCTAGGAATGCAAACTGTGCTCCCAAATGTCACACAGGTGGAGTAGGACTGATGGGATATCTAGAGCTGGTGGGTATGGGATCAGCCTCAGACTCCATGGAGACATAATGATGCCCCTACCTGTAGCGTTATAGTCATAGTGGTAGCAGTTTTTGTTCAGGTTACAGGCCTCCTTCTCCACGGCATCAGGGCAAGCTCTTCCTTCATCAGCAGGCTGTCTGATGGGATCAGCTGACCTTTGTCGGGAACCACTTTGACTGCAAGGCTTACAAGAACAACAGCATTCTTCAGAAAGGTTAACTCAGTCATGCAAACAACAGCACATTAACAAGAGCACTGTACCTAACTTAGTGCTCAGTTCTTGGATAATTTGAGCAAGCCATCATGCTTGTTAGTGCCCACATGTAAAATCTCAACTTTGTCATGCTTCTGAGTGCCCACATGTAAAATGAAGGCAATGGTCAAGAGTCTGATGTCCTATTCTAGCTAGAAGATGCTTGAGTCATTGCCTCAGACCTACACAAACACATTCATATGGTCTCATATGGTCACACTCCTTAACGTGGAATGATAATCCAATATGCTGCAATTATTAAATATAGATGCATGCATATGCACGTATAAATGAAACTGAGAACATTTAAATGACAACTCTAAATGATTGTCTTTTTTCTGATGTATACCTAGACATATCCAAGCCAAATTTAGCATGTAGAGACTGGCTGATCATTTTCCCAGTGGTACATCTTTCTGAAAACATTTAGCTCTTAAGAATAGGAAGGAATAAACTGCTTTGTATTTCTCAGGTTTAAAATAGTGTATTCCTCTTCCATTCCTTCCATTGTACTTTGGTCGTATTATTGGAGGAACACATTACTTTTAGAGGATACAAACTATATTAAGGCTGCTGTTACCTTCTCCAGTGTGAATACATTGAGAGATTTCTGTCTTCTTTCTGTGTCTTTGTACCTAACGGTTCTTTGCACATAGTCAATATTTTGTGTTTGTGTAATGAAACTTTGATGAAAAAAGATAACTTCTACAGTCCAAGAAACACATCTATTCAACCAGTTGAATTTTATTCTCATTCCAAAATTTCTATTGGCAAAAGCTCAAAAATATGTTTCATCAAGTCTTTTGTTCCCACTAATGAAACCCCAGTTATTCTTCTAACATGGTTATTCTTGGCTATTTAAAACAGAAACCAAATGGATATGGTTCTTATCCGGTAGTTCTAGAAGCAACCTAAGTTCAACAGCCTTTATTTTATAAAAAATAGAATTTTTCAGCAACAGAATCTGTGACAATAAAAATCTCATCATTATAAACAGAGTTAGAGTCTTTAGAATGTAGGTCAACTACAGAATTACAATAGAAATCCACCTGCAGGCTCTTGTGAAAGACTGAAGCCTTCATCCTCTTCAACCTCTCTTCAATGAGCCACCAGTCTTGTTTTTCTCAATCTATCAATTGGTTGCCAGTTAACATTTTAACAATGGAAGCACTGAGATCTAAAAATAATTTCTCCTAGAAATATATGTAAACTTCTCTGAAAATGTCCTATATGGTAATTCAAACAATTCCACACTAGACATCTTTCCTATTTTTTTCACATATTTTTTAAGGCTATACAAATCTACAAAAGGGTAAGCCAAATTTCTCACAAACTGTTTCAAATGAGTCCCTTCCTGTGGTCCCATGGCAGGGCCCCCTACTGTTGTTGACATCTAGAGTCTCTGATTCAAAGTCATCTAGCTTCCCAGTGTTAAAGAGGCACAGAATCTCTGTTTACAGAGACTCATGAATCAGTTTCTTAGGATTTTTAATTTCTAGTGGTCATACTCCTGCCACAGAATGCCTCTCTGTGAAAGCTCATTCTTACCACTTAAATTAAAAGGGTGAGGCTTTCTCTAGGATCTATGTCCTCTTCTATCCTATCTCTTTCATATCTCTAGACAAGGGAAATTTCTTGCTATATGCTAAATATCTATCCTTATGTTTATAGACAAGCATACTGTATACCACTCATCAAAGAGGCTTCTTTTTGCAACAGATGGAGGCTACTGCAGAACTGCACATCTGGTCAGACACAGAATATACATCTGCAAGATGCCCAGTATTAGGTGACACATCTACAGTTGAACCCCTACAACTAAGGCTCATGGAACGTAGCGGAACAAGGGGTAGAGAGAAAGTTAATGCACCCCTCAACACTCACCAGTGAGACTTCCTTATACAATAGAGTGCGATGCACACAGAGGGCCACAACTGGCCAAGTTTTAAAGAATAAGAGACTACAGAATGTAAGATAGGACTCCTATATGCAACCTCATCCACACACAGCTCAGGGACCATTGCAGAAGAGAGAGCCAAAAGATAATAAGTGCCAGGGATGTTTCATGAACACAGGGGAGCAGAGGCTTTCAGGCCACCAGAAGCTTGCAGATGTGAACTTGTGGCAATGGTGGCAATGAGCACAAGACCCATGCCCACTCAAACAAGGACTGAAAGGAGAAGAGAGAAAGAGGTGGTGGGCCAGCACCAGACTGAGAACTATTGGAGACTGATTGCTGCTGGGTGAGGGATAGTAGCCCATCTCTAGATGGGCTGACTAAGCTCCAGTGGATGAATTTACACTGAAGGACATTTGGATAAAAATGCCTGAATGGATAGAACTTAACATGTATGACGGAATATACAAGGTCTGGTGAGGGAATAGGGGAGGCATGGATGGGGAGGGGGTCTAAATTTGATTAATAACTGTTGTATGAAATTACAAAAGCTCAATAAAAATATTTTGAAAAAGGGTTAGGCAAAAAACAAGGGATGACAGCAAGCTGACATCATTAAAGCACCTTTACTAGGGTTTCGTTCTTTCCCTGCTTTCCAAACTAAAGGGAATCATCATGACCAGCTCAGTTTTAACATGCTGTGTAATTTGTAAGCCTGAAGGTGTCATGTTCTGGCTTAGGAACAGGGGTTTAAAAGGATGAAAAGGCTTGCAAGAAGTCAAGTTGTACAGTTGTACAGTGAGAGGAAATACTGCTGACTTTACATGGCACAGCCATATAAGGGCCAAGAAAACAAGCTTTGATTTTCTAAATGTGATGCACAAAGATATTTTACATTGAAAATATTTGTTCTTAATACCTATAAAAAATTAAGCAAACTCTATTACAAAATCGTTAAAAATCTCACCAAAGCACATTGGGTCCACGGCCCCCATTCAGATATCACACAGTCCTCAGGACATGGTAATTTGCACTCTCTAGAACCCAGGGGCATTTCTTCTGGGTCACAGAGGTAATCCTCCACATGTTCAGAAGGGCCATCTGCTGTATTCTGCATGCATCTAAAAGAAAACACGTACAGCAGTGAAGGAACCAGGACACACAGGACAGGTGGTTCTCATTAAGATAGCATCATGAGTTTGGAGCGGATGCTTTGTATTTAGTGAGTAACATTCTCCAAAAATGAAGAGTTAAGAATCTCTGCCTCTCCCAATGCAGGTAGTACTTTTGTATGATGTCAACATGTGTGCTCACATGCATTCTCATAACTTTCTAATGGAATAGCTGCAGGGTGTTGGCAAACTCTGTCGGGTGACTTTCCTTGCATGGGAAATGACATTTACACCCATCTGTGGGACAGGAATTAATGAGGATTTGTTCAAGGAGATGCTCAAAGAGGGTGATATTTTGGCATACAATCTATTTTTTCTTCTCATTAAGATATTGGATTCCACATAAAAGATTCAGTTGGCTCACAGATGATGGAGGTCGAGGCACTGTGCAATATCTGTACAAGAAGTCTTGTAAACACATTTCAAAGATAGCTAGCATTTACCAATTTGTTTTGCCATTTAAAAAGTAATTTTAGGGGCTGGTAAGATGACTCAGTGGGTAAAGGAACATGCTGGGAAGCCTGACGACCGGAGTTCAATCCTTGAAATGTACATGGTAGAAGGAAAGCATTAACTCCTGTAAGTTGTTCATTCACTGACCTGTACATGAGCCCTGCAACAGGTGTGAAGTGACAAATGCATGCACATGCACACAAATAAATAAAGTGAATTATATGCTCTAAACTATTTTAAAAAGTAAATTTAGCTTCCCATCTGTTAACCTGAGAAGAAAACCAGAAACAGGAAGATGTTTGAATTGTAATAGCTGAAGTTCTCTGTGGTTATTTGGATCTTCCTACATCTTGATTTTTTTCCTGTTAATTTTTATTTTGTGAGAACAAATTCATAAGCCACATTTGTTCATTGTAAACAGTCAAAAACTGTTCCTTACTCATCTCTTGAGAAACTAATTAATGTGGCTTCCCCTTTACCTTCGTTACTAATCTCTGTGAACTTGTGTAGTGGAAGGGAAAACCCTTATCCCTCATCTATCATATGGAAAAGGTCAGCCAAATTAATGGGTTTGGGAAGAGAGTTGCATCTGGGGAGATGAAAAGTACAGCTGGGCCTTGCAGGCCTCTTAGACTCAGCACACTGAAATAGTTGGTTGAATCACCTCACAGTTCTACATGAGACCCCAGCTTTTCCCAGAGATATACAATGGGTAGGCCATTGTGTCTCCACAAACCTACTTGTAGAATCACTTTCTTATAGCAGGGCCAAATTTCAGAAATATCCCTGTCTTGTGAGATACATTCAATAATTGGAAAACTGTCATTAGCTGTGTTTTGATAGGGTATGCAGTCTGGAGGGAGGGAAGGAGGGAGGAAGGAGAGGAGGTAGAGAAGGAAGAAGGAAAAATAGAAAGAGGAAGGGAGGACTTCCCATTAGGGAAAATCACTTCTGATATCCAGTTCCTGATATTTAATTCCATCCTAAGTGAGAAAGATTGAGATTGGGTAAACCTAAACCTGCTGTTTTGTAGACTCATCTATCTTGAAATGTCAGTCCACATTTGCATTTAGGCAGGAGATACTGACCCTAATTAGCAGAGGATTAAGTTAGAGAGGGGTACCACTCAATCAGGAACAAACAGACACATTATTACATGACCGGAGATCACAATCAATACTGACCTCCTTCTCTAGTTTCATCAAAGATGTTTACCGGATAAATAAGTTGATCTGAAAAGTTATTTTGTTTCAAGTGAGTTTGGAAATGGTGAAAATATCTGTTTACAAAGCAGAAAAAGCATGTACACGAATAGTATAAAAAAACTGGAAAACTCTCATAATATTGTTACTATCAAAACAACCAACTGAACCAAATTCTTTTAATAGAAAAAATTTTGGGAGTTATTTTTATTTTATGTGTGTGAGTGTTTTGCCTGCATGTTTATGAGTGTACCTGTGCATGCAAGGCCCATGGAGACCAGAGAGCATGCTGAATGCCACAGAACTGGAGTTACAGAAGTTGTTAGCTGCCATGTAGGGCCTGGAACCAAGCCTGGTCCTCTGAAAGAGAAGTCAGTGTTCTTAGCCACTGAGCCATCCCCCCATTCCCTGAACCAAATTCTTCATGTAAGAAATGACTTTTTAATCTTGAGAGAAAAATTTAAGTTGGAAGTAGAAGAGTGGAACACAGAACTTCTATTTATTTTTCTTCTTTTTTTATCTAGTCATTTCCTTTTAATACTTCTTCATCCTCAGTCTACTTCTATTACAGCCCAAGAAATAGTAAATTGAGAGTTCAAACAGATTTTTAAAGTAAAAACAGAAAATCTTCTATCACAAACAAAGTTACAGATACCATTATGTGTAGAAGTTTTATATTGTTAATTTAAAAATATTTTTCTACTGAAATAGATCGTGAAACATCATTACACATTCTTAAATTTATGAAAAGTTGTTATAGATAAGAATGAACTTCATAACATGTGGCATCAAAGTTCAGTATTTTTAGTTTGCCTTTTTTAGCCTTTATTGTTTGACATTGAGCAGAGTTAGAAAAAGTGATGCAGTTAATGAGAGTGAAAGGAAATGGGTTTGAATTCCAACTCTGTCTCTTCACCAGATGAGTATTCCCAATAAGCTAATTAGAATATTGGAATCTAATTCATAAAACCTTCCTATGCTTTTTTCATAGAGTTCCAGAACCCTTAAGTATCCTGTGACAGATATTTCTTTAAAATATTTTTTATTATTTTTGTGTATGCCTGCATTGCCTGCATGTAGGTGGTAAGTGCACCCATATCGTGCAATGCCCATGGAAGACTGAAGAGGCTGTTTGTGGGAGCCTGCGAGTGACCCTGCAAAGGTGGCGCTGAGAGGAAGTGAGCAGGGCTGAAGGACACCTCCCCGTTTCTGGAGGCTCGTGATAAGCATGTGATCATCATTGATGCCTATGGGACCCTGCCCATGTGGCAGGTTGACCTTTAAGCTGATTGGGTGCATTTGGGGGAGGGGGTTTCCGAGGGGATTTCCAGACTGCGTTTTTTGCCTTTATAAGCTCGCTGACGCCTGCAATAAATGAGTTCCTGCTTGACTAGACTCCATGTCGCATCTGATTGTCCTTGGCGAGGAGGGCTGGCGAAACACGCGGACAGCGCACTCCCCTCTCCCTGATCCCCCCCGTGTGTGTGGGTAGTCCCTCTGGTGCGACCTGCTGGCTGGGTCCAGCTGCCCCCAGAGGGGCCCCACAGCTGTTGGATGCCCTGGAACTGGAGTTAAAACAGTTGTTAGCTGCCATGTGCGTGCTGGGATTCAAACCAGGGTCTTCTGCAAGAACAGTCAGTGTTCTTAACCACTAAGCCATCCCTCCAACCCTCTAAAATATTTTATTATCTTTATTTTATGTGTAGGAGTGTATTACCTGGAAGTGTACTGGTGCCTGTGAGATATTTTATAGGAAATCAAGGGTCTCAGTTAATCATATGAACTCACAGCAACACTGACAGCATGAACAAGTCCCACACAAACTCAAGCCAGGCAAAACTCTCAGCATAGACATGAAAAAGTACACAAGAAAGCCCCATGCCTACCTGAGGAACGACTGGCAACCACTGACTGTTGGGAAGGGGAGATTCAGTTTCATTTAAAGGTAGGATTCTTGGCAAGTTAACCAGGCTCCAGTGGATGAACCCACATTAACCAAATTGACTCTGATTAACCCAAACTGACTCTATAGGCATATATTTCCTGTACTCTAATTTGGTGGGGATGGTAATGGGGAATGCAGATAGGGGAGGAGATCTAAATGTGATGAGAATATCCTGAATGAAATTTGCAAAAATTCAGTTAAAAAAGGACAAAAGTACTAGCATATGATGATCCCCCTTCTCTGCAGTTTAGCTCTCCACAGTTTCTATTTCAGTTATCTATGATCAATGGTACTCTAAAAAATTAAATGAAAAATTACAAAAAGACCCCAAACAATTTATAAAACTTAAAAAGAAGAAAATCAAAGAGCATCCGACTTGCATTAAGACACTGGAGAATTTGGATGACTGTGACAGGATCTTGGGAGAAATGTAGAGAAATATGACAATGTGCTAATGATTTTTTCAATATCATAGGGGTATATGAGTACTACAGAGCAAGGGCACCCAGTGGGACTTTCTGTGATTAAAGCAATATTCTGTATCTGTCTAGTCCCTCAGACCAGCCACATGTGAATGAAGAAATGCACTTTAAACTCCGTTGAATTAGTTTAAGATGAAATTGAATCAGCCACATGAGACTGGTAGTAACCCTATCAAACAGCATAGTCATGGAAGCATGAGTGAGAAGCTGTAAGTAGCAAGCCAGGGGTTCAGGCAAGGCTCTCTGACAGAGCTGACATTAGCCAGTTTGATATAAAGAAGCAAAGTGTCAAAACAGACCATTTGAACATATATTTAGCTTTGGGGATGGGAAGAAGAAGTACTTGCCACACAAGCATGAGGACATAAATTCAATTCAAGCACCCATGTGATTAATTTTATTTATTTATTTATTTATTGGTGTTTTTGAGGCAGGGTCTCCCTGTAGCCCCAGCTAGCCTGCAACTCACTATGTAGACCAGGCTGGCCTTGAACTCACAGAGATCTGCCTGCCTCTGCTTCCCAAGTGCTGGGACTACAGGCATGCATCACCATGCCCAGCCAAGGATTAATTTTTTAAAAAGCCTCAATAGCACATACTTGCAATGCCAGCATGGGGGAGGCAGAAGCAAGAGGATCCCTGGGACTTGATGGCCAGCTACTCTAGGAGAATAGTTGAGTTCCAGATTCAATGAGAGTCTATCTCAAAAAATAAGGTGGCCAGTGAATATGAAAGACATTCCATGTTGACCTCTGGCCTACACACACACACACACACACACACACACACACACACACAAATATCCACATACAGCAGAAATATATCTGGCTTTTAAGAAAAAGTTATTGAACCAGGCATGGTGGTGCACACCTTTAATCCCAGCACTTGGGAGACAGAGGCAGGTGGATCTCTGTAAGCTTGAGGCCAGCCTGGTCTCTATAGAGAATCCAGGCTGGCTGCAGCTACAGGGAAACCCTGCCTCAAAAAACCAAAAAAAAAAAAAAAAAAAAAAAAAAGAGAGAGAGAGAGAGAGAGAGAAAGTTATTGATCAATTGCTTAGCCATCTGCACTCATACGACTTGTTTTTTAACATGCTTTTCCTTTTCTTAAATGTATCATTAAGTGAAGTGTTTTAAGTAAGAAAAAGAATATAGTAGAATATACAAAGTACTGCTTGAAACAGATTCTTTCAGTTGCCATGTACACAGATTCCCTAAAATCAAAACTAAGGAGTGTTTTCAGGGGACAGGGGATGAGGCAAGCCTCAAGCTGTCACACATGAAATTGGGAGGTGGTTGCCTTCTTGACTTGCTGTCATTCTTCTTGATCTTACCTCACTTTGCGGGTCTGCACACCCTCTCCACAGTTATCACGCATGTCCACAAAGGTCACCTTGCAGACACTCCATGGCTCTGTGACCCATATATACTGGTTGCAGTCACTGTGGCATGGGACCACCTCATACACCTGAAACACATATCTGGTAACTTCAGGGAATGGGAGGAGACTGGGGGAGATTAGAGGGAGTAGATAGGACGCTCCCACACCATCAGTCATTTCATCAGTGTCCTTTCCTTCCTTTCCCTTTCTGTTCACATTCTACTGGGGGAGGAGAGGCAATTTCTTGAGAGGTGCAGTCGTGAAGGAGAGGGATATCTGTGCTGCATTGTCTCATGCAGCAGTTGCACTGTAGGTACAGATCTAGCCCACTGGACCAGATTAAAAAACATATTCCTGAACTGATCTTTAACACACTGTGCTAGATAGCTTCAATGTCAACTTGACACATCTGGTAGAGGGAGCCTCAATTGGTGAACTGCCTCCATTGGACTGGCCTGTGGCCATTATCTCTGGGGCATCTTGATTATTGAGAGATGTGGGAGGACCCAGCCCACTGTGGGTGGTGCCACCCCTAGGCAGGTGGGTCTACGTTGTATAAGAAAGCAGGCTGAGCAGGGACCAGGGGCATAAACCAGTAAGCAGCTTTTCTCCATGGCTTGTGCTTCATTTCCTGCCTCCAGGTTCCTGCCCTTACTTCTTACCTTGGGCTCCCTGATCAACTATGTGACTCAGGAGATGTAAGACAAATAAGCCCTTTCCTCCCCAAGTTGGTATTGGTCAGGGTATTTTGTCATAGCAATGGAGAAACAAACTAGGACACACACTATATTATAATTTTTGGGATCGCCTATCTTATTACAGTTTTGTGTGTCTTCAATTCTTAGCTCAGGGTACCTATGTGCTAGACACTCGATTGAGATTTGTCAGAGGAGAGAATTCATGAAACGAATATTTTAAGTACATCTGTTTTCCAGAAAAATATAATTTGGCCTGCCTTACATATGAATGTATATACATAGTAATAAAACTTAACTTTTCATACTGGGAACTGAACTGATAAATTGAAATAAACCTATCTTAAAACAACTCCTCAATAACATGGGGTTTGAGCAATGTCCTAAATTTGGTCTCACAGAACATACAGCTATAGTTATAGTTACTAAGCAGCAAGGGCCTCACAAAACACAGCACACTGCTGGTCAATGTCTACAAAGATTTTTGGCCTGTTATGTTTTATTTTAGGAATTTTAGAACAATGAACCAATTATGCTATTCTCCCAATGAGAAAAATAAGTAAAGAATAAATGAATCATCATTCATGGCATCCAAGCTGACACAACCATTGAAGAAGCATCTAAAATCATTTCTGTAATCTGTGAAAGTACAACTCTGTTTCCCATTTTACACATGCACACTGTGGCATAGGATGGTTTAGGTTATCGGCTCTAGAAAAGAGGTTGAAACAGTAGAGCTATTTTGTGTAATTTTTAGTGGACTATAAACCTAAGTAAACACAGTGGACCTAACCGAAATAAGAATAAAAATGGTGCACTGTTGGAATAAAACTCCATAGCTACTGCCGTAGCAAGCACATTCTCATTTTGTAGAAATATTAAAGCAAGACTATTATCACATGGCTAAAACACTACCCTACTGCTCCCAGGGAAAGAAGAAAATTGAAAGGGATTTGCTGCTCTTCTTAATCATTTTATTGATTTCATTTCATCTTCCTTTGTTGGGGTTAATGACGATTTCATAGCCATCTCCAACACACATTTGCAGCCCACCTGCTCTGTGTCCATTTCTTGAGCATAAATGAGGGGTGTCATCACCTTGTTAAAGTAGGAGAGGTGAAACCTCATCACCTCTCCCCAACTCTTCAGACTATAAATAAGGACATACAAGTAACTATACATGCCAGAAATAAAAATGGAGTAGGTAAGATCTTTTTATTGGAGATTTTTCTTCTAACAGAAAATAAAACACAGTAGCAAGCTAAGTAAAATGACTGATGTCACAGATCTCATCAGGCTAATGGGACAAAAGGACACATGTAAAGGTCTTTGCATGTGATTTGAAGGAGAAGTAAACAAGATCTGCTGAAAAAAACCCACATTCTTGGAAATCTATATTAAACAATAAAGCACTTGGAAGAATCATGGTGTTTATGACTGCTTACCTGTGCCTGGGGTAGTTTTGATCAGGAACGAGAGAAGGATGAAAAACAGACAGGTTAAAATGTCAGTATATTTTGATAAGAGCTCATGATTTAAGTTTCACATACGAATACTTATTTATAAAAGCATATTTGTAGTGTTAGAACCTTTTTTCTTAGGCTTTAGGAAGGATAAAACTTATTATTACTTAAAAGTAGGGTGTGTGAATCAGATGTGGTGGCACATGTCTTTAATCCCAGCACTCAGTAGGCAGAGAAAAGTCAATCTCTGAGACCAAGGCCAACCTGATCTACATAGTGAGTTCCAGGTCAGTCAGAGCTACAGAAAGACCCTGTTTCAAAAACAAAAACAAAACACCCTACAAAACACAAGCAAAACATCTCCCCCCCCTCAACAAATTCTGTAAGATGCACAAAATGAGCATTTCCCACAATACAACCAAGGGGTGCATGGGCAGGATGAAAAGGCTTGGGAAAAGATCTCACAGACTCTTTCATGGGAAACTGACACACAACTGCACATAACTTATGATCCAACTGGCAAATGGAATATATATATATATATGGAGAGAGAGCTATCTACACATTCATCTATTCATCAATCTACCTTAATCCATCCATCCATTTTGTAGGAAATAAAGCCCTAAGAACTTGCTTCTTTACTGAAAAATGGAACCTCAGAAACCACCTTCAAGTAAATGGCCTGCTATAGAGCTTATTGAAAAATTTAATTGTAGTAAAACTCTGCATGTTTCATATATTTGATCATTAATATATTTTGCATATTATTTCACCTATTTTATTAAAGATTAAATCCCTAACATTGCATTTATATAAACATTTTTGCTTAAAATCAGATGTCAAAAGATCTATTGTACTATTTTTGTTGTTCTTTTTTTATCTTTGATTTTCAGTTGTTAACCTTTTTTTTCCCGTTGAGACAGGATCTCACTATATATGTGTTGCTGGCTTGGAACTCACTAAGTAGACCAGGTTGACCTCAAACTCACAGAGATCTTCTTGCCTCTGCCTCCAAAGTGTTGGGATTAAAGATGTGTACCACACGGCCAGCTCAGTTGCTAATCTTTTTAATATACTGAGAACAAGTACACCAATATCCTTATCAGATTCTGCCTGAAATTTTATGAAAGAAAGTCTGTGACAGTCAAGTTATCTGGGGCTAAAGAAATTTCATGTGGAGAGGACTTTGGACAAGGTCACTAGGTTTTGGAAACTGGGAAAATCCCAGGCAACTATGGCCTATTTGAACTGCCTACTAACTAGCTGAACACACACACACACATGCACAGGACAGTGCAGTGGGTAGAGTATATACATACTTTCTCTTCATTATGACTACGATCATAACTTATTAACATCTAAATTTCCCATTGGAAAGTCAAGGTTTCCAAACTTACAGAGGAAGATTTTTTTCTGGATCATATCATATGACTTCAGTTATTCTGTTTCATATTTATCGTTATAGCTGTGGAAATTAATTTTCTGCTTTGGAAATAAATACTCGCATTTTAGGAATACACAAAGCTCGATGACAAGTCAGCTCAAGTGCCAGCAGATGGCAGTAACAGAGTGTGTTACTCAACCTCAGGGGCCTAAAATCATCAACTGGAAAAATTCAGACTCTGAGAACACTTTCTATGGAGTTTAATTCTCAAGTGTCTTTATTTTTATTTACTTGTTTCTTCGTTTGTGTATAGTGTTGTTCTGTTCTGTGGTTCTGTTCTTGTATAGTGTGTATTCTGTCATCAACAGACAGGTAAATCAGGAAGGAAACTGCAGATGAGCAGGGCAGTTAGAGGATAAAATGAGACAGCCTGTGGACACATGAAACAGCTGTACACATTTAAATACTTGATTCATGTGATATCAGTTCAAATTCAAAACACAACATCTGCACACACTATAAAACTGATTCTTTGTTAATTTACATGCAGACCAACTGTAACAACAATTGTCTGTTCTGTTATGTTTAAATTAATCACAATCCCACCATTAACCTTTTCACTTTTTATCTCCATTAGAGTACAAATAACAGCCATTGACAGCAGCTAATGAAGTATGCATGTAAACTCTAATAAAGCTCCAGTTTTCACAAAGGGCCTATGACTAAGGTGCTAGCATACTCACAGTGACTTGAAGACTCTCTTCATATTTCTTTTCCTAAATTTATTTTACATAAAACACATTGAAATAGTGTGCTTCCCCCACCTAATTTTAGTACCATACCCATATTTTTTCTTTTCTTTTTTTCTTTTAAGTAGTTGGTAATTGAGATGTCTTCTTCAGAGTCTAGGGAAGCTCTAAGAATGACACAGTCTTATCATAGCAGTTAGATACAATTTTATGACAAATTAAGTACCACGACATAATTTTAGAGACAGGTGTCATTTCATCCTTACTGAATTATATCCATATTCAGACACTTGCTGTGCTCTGAATCTTCAGAGGATTCAAAGGTAATATATCTAATTTGAGATTTTAGTAAGTTACATGTAATTTATCCAGGCATTACAAAAATAATATCAATCAGATTTCTTATTCAGAAGGTATCATTTAATCTTGTCCACTTTTGAGAAATAGTAGATCCTTGGGAACACAAGAAATTATCTTAATACACTCAGTGCTGGGAAATACCTGGTTGACGTGGTCTAATTTGGGACAAGGCCTTCCTCCGTTATACGGCTTTTCCCGCAGCCACTTGGACCGGACCTTCACTCCACTGCCACAGGACTTGCTGCAGCGGGACCAATTGGACCACTCGCTGAGCTTGCAGTCTGAGGGGCAGGGGATAATGCAGGCTTCCTCAATGTAACCTGAGTGGAGGAAAGCGAGACAAGAAGCCACATGTCACTCTCTGACTCACACTCACCATTCCAGCTCATTTAGAAGGTCCACATTTGACTTGACAGCAGCTTGCAAATGAAGAGATGTCTCCTTCATTGGGGGCTTAAATGAAATTCTGCAGGGAAATGACGCATCCATACAGTAGCTCTATTATAATAACAGCTGAGTAGCTGCCCTATGATCTGCTTAGGATTTATGCCCACCAAGTTTCAACGTTTCTGATTTTCTGACAGCTCTTGCTTAATTGACAGTAACCTGTCTGCTACCATCTCTTTCTTATGCTGCCAGACCACTATGTTTAAAAAAACCTAACACAGTTTTCTGTGGCACCCTATCTGTAGGGTTCCTCCTCAAGAAAATTCAGTCCCTCTCAATCAACAAGCAAAAGAATCCATTTAACTTAGCACCTTATGTTTCCCCTTCCTTGAAAATCAGTCCTGAAGAAGGAAATTGAAGGATGTTATGTAAATAAGCCCCATATTTTCACAGTGCTGTCACTAGGAAAGCTACATCATATCTTGTATCCATTTTATTCTCTTGGAAATTTTCAATGTGTCAGGCAGAAACAAGTAAACAAATAGAAATGATTGTCACATCTAAGACCACATGTTAAGAGATGGTGAAAGGCTTGCTGAGGTCTAGACCATTGCTCATTCCATCTGCTCACCCGTGGAGTGTCAACAGTTGATGTGGGAAGTGGCACTATTTTCTTTGAATAGTCCTTCCGTAAAAACTTGGCAAATGACGATATTAAATTATCCCTATTGTTCTCAAGGCAAATATGTGGAAAAAGAAAAATTCCTCTGGGCAAGAATCAAATGCCTGCTTTTCCTGCTTCCGTAATATTTACTGTGGAAAAAGATAAAAAACAGTCTGCCTTACCATTTTATATCAATGGCACAGACTTGGTCTTGAAAATGATTTTCATATGCACAACCTGTGCTAGGGAACTCCATGCACACTGAAAACGGTTTTTTTTTTTTTTTTTCGAGCTAAAAATCATGTATCATAAAACCCAGCTCATTTTGCTTTTTAGTATATTTATTGAGTTTTACAATTATCATCACCATCTAATTTTAGGGAATTTTTTATTAGTCCTCTCCAAAGAAATCCTGTCTTAGTAGTAGCAGTGCAGTATCTGCTTCTCACCTTCCTATCTGCCAATAATTCATTTATTTACTTTTGTTCGCTACAAAATTACCTGTTGTGGACATTTCATAGAAAAAAAGACCAAATGAAACAGCCTGTGTATCTTTGTGACTGGCTTTTTTCACTTGGTTTAGTGTTTTCAAAGTGCATTCTAGCATCTACCCGCACTTCATTCCTTGTGGTTGACTAACATTCCGTTGTATGGATATACCACATTTGTTTAGCTATTCATCCGTTAACAAACATTTCAATTTTTTTTATGTTTTATCTATTGTGAGTAATGGTGCTATCAACATTTGTGCATAAGTTTATTATGTGTAAGTTTTTTAATTCCCTTACATATACACCTAAGAATGGAATCCCCTGGTAATAAGGTAATTCTACATACTTCTTGAGAAAGTGTCACTCTTTCCCAAAGTCATTGCACCAGTTTACATTCTACAGCAGTATATGACTGCTTTAATTTCCCTGAACCCTTCTCAGACTTCTCAGTGCCCATATTTGTAGCTTAGTGTTTTTTGAGGAACAGGTTGCAATTTGTTAATGAAGCCTAACTTATTTTTTCTTTGGCTCCTTGTGCTTTCGTTTCATGTCTAGGAAATTATTGCTAACCCAAGGTCACGAAGGTTTGTATCTCATTTTTCTTCTGGAGTTCCATATTTTTTAAGTTCACATATGTTTCTTTTTGTGTTAATTTCTGCCCACGATAAAAGTGAGGCCTCAATTTCATCATTTGCATGTGACCACTGACATCATCTGTAACCATGGCATGACATGCTTCAGGCTATCAGCTTCCTGAGTTATCCTAGCTCCATTTCTTGAAAGAGTATTCTTTCCCTATTGCTGGAAAGATTTATTCCTGGATGCAAGGCTTCAAGTTAACTCTTTCTCTATGTCCCACCCTGACTTGACAAGTGTAACATTACAGAAAGTTTGAAGTAATTAAGTGTGAGTCTTTCAATTTTGCTCTTTCTCAAGACAGATTTGAGTATTTTTGAGTCTCTTACAATTCCAAATGCATTTAAGAGTAAGTTCTTCAACTTCTGCAAGAAAATACATCTAGGGTTTTGGAAGAAGTGGTTCAAATCTGTTGAATTTAGGAGTACTGCCATTATAAAGTACTGCCATTATAACAATCCAGGTTTGGGGATCTCTATTTACTTAGGTCTTTAATTTCTCTTTCTGATATTTTGTAGTTTTGTTGTATATATTTCTTGAACTAATATTGTTAACTTATTTGCATTTTAGTTTTAAACTCAAAGTAGATTATAAAAGTAACCGTTAAGTATTAATTTCTTCAAATATAGGGAAATCAACCATCTTTAAGTTGAAATGGCAGATTTAGTCTTGTAACCAAACTGCCTTTAATTTAAATAATTAAAAAATGGCCATTATTTTATACAATATTTTCTAGTTTTTCCTCATACTTTGCTTAGGATATTTCAAAAGTCGACTTCTTCCACCCAGATCTTGTGACCTGGTCTTTGTGACAGAGTCTGAGTTTTGTAAACTAGTATAAATTTTTGTGTGTATTCAATTTTCCTCTTTTTAAAGCTGGAAAACATTTATCAAATGATTACAGATGCATATGCAATTTAAAGAAATAATACATAGTATCTTCTTGTACCCTTTCCCCAGTCACCTTAATGATACTTAGAGTTTTGACTAGATATGGACACAGACACAATCCACTAAGTTTACTGAGCTTTTACCTGTCTTACTTGCATGTATGTACATGTGTAGGTAAATCAGACCTAATTGAGTGGCATCATGGTAAATCGTGTAGAAATATGTAAGCAATACAGATTTGTGACATACCTTTCCATATATTATCTCCTATATTTTGTCAAAGATTATCCATGCTTTTATTTTTTATTAAAGTCCAGAAACACAATAGAACATCTTTTATGTGTTTAAGTTCACCAAAGACACTCATGAAATTAACATTTTAGGAATTTCTTTTGTGTTCCTTTCCAATCACTATCACTTATTACTAAAGAGATGACTATCTTGACTTCTTACTATGTACAATAGTTTTACTTTCTAAACTTTTTTTGTAACTGAAATCATACAATGTTAGGGTTTGGATATTAAGTATCCCCAAATTATTCTCATGTGTTGAAATACTAGTCTCAGGTAGTGGAACTAATTATTGAGTGGTGAGTGACTGAAACATGAGGGCTCCAACTTCATCAATGAATTCAATCATTAATGGACTCATAATTTGATGAAGTGATAAAAACTAGGAGGTGAGCTCTGGCTGGGCAACATAGATTGCTCTTAATGTGCCTTTGAAAGATACATTTGCTCTCTCTTCCTCCCTCCCCTCTCCCTCCCTCCCTCTCTCCTTCCCTCCCTCCCTCCCTCCCTTCATCTGTCCTGAGCTGCAATAAAGTCAGAAGAGAGGCACTATGCCCTTCCATCATGATATTCTTTCAAACCACAGTCCTAAGAACAATAGATCCAACTGACAACAGGCTGTGACCTCTAAAACTGTGAGCCAAAATAAATCCTCCCTTCTTTGTTTTTGTGGGTATTTTGTTACAGCATCAAAAACTGACTAGTACATAGTGTATGTCCATTGAGGACTTTTAACTCTATATTGCAATGTGAGATTCATTCATACTTTTGTATGTTGTTGGAGGTTATTTATTATAAATGTTATATAGTATTCTATTATGTGGATTGTTATAGCTTACTTACTCATTCTATTGGTTGGTGAGCACTTAAGTAGTCATAAATATGGGGCTGTTACATCTGCTATGAATATTTTAGAACAAGTAGTTTGGTAAGTTTAAGTATACACTTTCGATGTATGTCTAGAAGAGAAACTTGTGTGTTAAGGGGCATGTAGATTATATCACTTTATTGTAGATGAAGTATGACACAATTTAAAAAAATGTAACCACAAATTTGGTGTGAAGAGTTAGATTCAATGAAAGTTTCCAAAAGGGTGACTGTCTTAGATAATCTTCTAGAGGGCAGATGTACCTGGTGGGAATTTGCCAGCCATGAACCAGTGGTCTTTTGAATGTACTTCTAATTTTGAAGAAAGTGTCTGAAGGACTGATAGAGATCCAGAGGCAAGTCTAAAAAGAAGTGAAGGGATATTTTGTAATAGTGCTTACTAAAAACTTTAAAAGTCTAACTATTCTTTTAATAAATTACTGTTATTTGGCTTAAAATTTATTTTAATTATGGTTTGAGATGGGGAAGTAAGCTCCCCTCAATATTTTTAGTGGAATCATTTCAAATCCTTGATCTCTTTTTGTGTGACAAAGCCAGTAAATATTTAATTAAAATAATATGAGAGATCTACAAACCAACTTGTTAGTGGGTTAGTAATCATCTGTAATTGCCAAATACATAAAACATTAAAGTGCTTAACATTACTTACAAATCAATAAAACTGCATTGCCAAATGGTTTTAAAATATTATAAGAGAATATTGATTTAAAATGTTATCAATAATTTTAGCAAAAGAGTCATATTTTCAAAAGTAGTAAGTAGTTGAATTGTTTTTGAAGTGTATTTTTCAGTTTGAAAAATTATAAATGACTGTCAAAAGTCTACCTCTCAGCTTTTATTCTCAATAATTTTGATTGAAGATATAATATGATAGTTCTTATTACCACACAGAATAACAAATCAATTAAAGTTCTATGTTTCTTTTTTATTTGTCAGACTCTTATGTGTTTAAGTTCATGAGTGTTAATGGGATTTAACATGTATGACTTCAGACTACTTCACTGTATTAGTGAGTGTGCTAGATAATGTCAGTTGTCAACTTGACACACCTGGGTAGAGGGAACCTCAATTG